TTGTAGAAAATGCATGTCCCATTTTCCATACTCGTGGATAGGAAATCTTATCATGGTTCCCCCTTCCCCCTCCCCTCCCCCCCCCCCCCCCCCCCCCCCCAAGACTAACTACTCATCTTCCCCCTGGCACCTTTGGGCAAAGAAACGTTGCCCAAGCGCTTCTGTTCATTCGACTATGAGTTGAATACGCTAACTAATGCGTGCCTAAGGACGCAAGTCGCTGGTGTTACTAGAACGTGAAAAATCAGGATTTCTAGCCATGGAAATCTGTAATTTGGGAAGCAAGAAAATGAGGAGAAAATAAGAAGTAATGTAATTGTATGTAATTCTCACCAACGTGAACATTACAAGACGCTAAAACCACATATTTTTTCCCAGCGTGAAAATAACAAGGCGCTAAAAACCCACATTTATTGAACAAAATACATACTTCGGTACAGTTTAGTGAAAGAGTTCCACCACTACAAAATAGGGTCACATTGTTCTCCACTACCAAGTAAATCTGTATTGTTGTTGGATAATTGTTGACTATATAATTGTTGTGTATTTTGTAGGTCAATTTGCTACCTATCCAGTTAATGTTATTTCTCTGTGAGACTTAGAATGGTGGCATAACTTACCCGGCTAATCGTCACGGCTGCTGGATTGGTCTCTCTTATTGTGAGGGTCGACCTTTCCACCTTTCCCACACGAAGGGATAGGTACACTAAGAGGTGTACCCCGCTGTTCTGTGTATACACTGAGGTGTGTATACCTCCTTCCTTGTGTATACACAGAGAGATTACTTTAGCTTCGTACAATGTTCTTTCTGAAAGCTATATTTCATCCACTTTAGCGGTCTCCCTAATACACTAGAGTGTGTGCGTGTGTGTGTGTGTGTGTGTGTGTGTGTGTGTGTGTGTGTGTGTGTGTGTGTGTGTGTGTGTGTGTGTGTGTGTGTGTGTGTGTGTGTATTCACCTAGTTGTATTACCTAGTTGTGTTTGCGGGGGTTGAGCTTTGCTCTTTCGGCCCGCTTCTCAACTGTTAATCAACTATTTACTAACTACTTTTTTTCCCCACACCACACACACACACCCCAGAAAGCAGCCCGTGACAGCTGACTAACTCCCAGGTACCTATTTACTGCTAGGTAAAAGGGATATTCAGGGTAAAAGAAACTTTGCCCATTTGTTTCTGCCTGGTGCGGGAATCGAACCCGAGTCCTGCAGAATTACGAGTCCTGCGCGCTATCCACCAGGCTACCAGGCCCCCCCCCCCCGTGTGTGTGTGTATGTGTGTGTGTGTGTGTGTGTGTGTGTGTGTGTGTGTGTGTGTGTGTGTGTGTGTGTGTGTGTGTGTGTGTGTGTGTGTGTGTGTGTGTGATAGATATTGTGTGTGCTTGCCCATTCTTTGTGTGTGTGTGTGTGTGTACGCCCATATCATTGCTGTAGTGTACTTGTTTGTGTGTGCGTGTGCTTTTGCGTGCGTGATCGCATGTTGACTGCCCATGTCCTAGCTCCTGGGCGCTGGCACTTCCTGTGCTGTATCTTCTGGCTATTTAACTCCCGTGTCGCACTGGTGAGAGCAATAACAACGGGAGTAATTATTGGTGGACTCTGTAATGAATTGCTTACATCCAGTGGCGGTAATTAGCGGGAGAGGAGACGTTGCTCCCAGACGCAAGGGAAACGTCTCCATCTCACAGGACGCAGCAAGTGACGTTGTCTCCTTGCGTCACATGACGTATGACAGACGTCTCCAGGTCCCAGGACGCAGTAGTGACGGAATAAGTGAATTACGGGGAGGGATTTCCCCTCCCCCCCTCTCCCCTTCCCCTTTCCCCTCTCACCCCTCTGACGATGGGGTGAGAGAAGGGGGGGAGGGGAAGGGATGGAAAAAACAGGGACAGTGGGTCGAGTGCTGCAGGCTGGACCCCTTAATTACGATGCTCAGAGAACCATCATTTAGAATACAAATGAAAAACTGCGACGTTCTGAACTTATCTCTGACACGCGAGTCGTCGCCGTCTGTGGCCTTGTCAGTGTTGTGTTGTAACAACCTCGAATTGGCCCTCCTCTGCAGTACCTAATTCCTAGTTATCCTGATTGACACACACTCACACTCGCTGGGCCTCGCGGCTGAGTGGACAGCGCTCAGGGGTCGTAGTCCTAAGGGCCCCGGGTTCTATTTCCAGCCGAGGTGGAAATAATTGGGTATAGTTTTTTCACCCTAATGCGTCTGTTAACCTAGCAGTAAATAGGTACCAGGGAGTTAGACAGATGCTACGGGCTGCTGCTGCCTGCGGGATATGTGTGTGTGTGTGTGTGTTTTAGAAATATTTTAGTATATATAATAGAGGAAAAATAAATTGGTTAGAAAGGCGGACTCCAAGAGCTATTAGCTCGATTCTGCAGACACTAATAGTAAATACACACACACACACACACACACACTTCTCGGGCAGACTCCTCAACCTTTAGAATTGCTTCATAATTGTAAAATAAAACCATCGATTAAGTCAATCACTGACTAATACGACCTGTGGCATCATGACTCTTCCTCACGGTATAATAAGACACTCTTGTTTTATTAATATTGCTTTATTTCTTAATAAAGTAATTGTTTATTGCTTTGTTGACCAGACCACACACTAGAAGGTGAAGGGACGACGAACGTTTCGGTCCGTCCTGGACCATTCTCAAGTCGATTGTGAGAATGGTCAATTGACTTGAGAATGGTCCAGGACTGACCGAAACGTCGTCGTCCCTTCACCTTCTAGTGTGTGGTCTGGTCAACATACTTTAGCCACGTTATTGTGACTCATCGCCTGCTTATTGCAATATTTCTTAATAAATTCATATTACTTATTGTGGTTTATACATGGGCCTTGGTAAGTAGGTTAGGTAAGGTGTGTTGTTCACGTTGATGTAGCGGATGTTTACAGTACAACATGTATACGTCACCCAGTCGTGTGTTGTGTCTCTTGTTCGTGAATACGGGGGTCGGGCGGGTGGATTATTGAGCATTTGGCCTGCGTTGGTGAGGCCGGACTGACGTTTAGCCTGCGTTGGTGAGGACGGGCTGACATTTGACCTGCGTTGGTGAGGCCGGGCTGACATTTGACCTGCGTTGGTGAGGACGGGCTGACATTTGACCTTCGTTGGTGAGGCCGGGCTGACGTTTGACCTTCGTTAGTGAGGACGGACTGACATTTGACCTTCGTTAGTGAGGACGGACTGTAGTAAAGCCTGAACATGAACGAGCCACGGCCACAATCATCCGCTCGAACAAGGTTAAATGATCAGATGCTCATTTACGTAGATTTTCATGTTAGCATTTGACCTATGAAGTAAATTACACTTTGTGAGCCAGATTGGCCTTTCTGTTGAGGATAAGACAAGAGTTTCCTTGAGAACACTCTACTGGCTGTTGGTGGTAGTCTCAGTAACCGACCTTATACCACCCTTCACAGTCAGAGAAACCACCAGAAATATCCCAATTCCTTGCCAGAAACGTACCAACCCAAGCAACCCACCTAACCTAATGAGGCTGATGCGCATAAAAACCTTAATATTACAGTGCTGAAATTTGTGATAATGCGTCACTTTTTTAACGTATTGGACGATTACGTAAAATATACGACGTGTTAGGTGAGAGAACTGGATGCAAACCCGTAAATGTCATTCTAGGAGATTATACCGTCCACGTGCCTAAGTCAGTCCTTCGAGTCTCGCTCAAGAATCCCGGGTTCGATTCCCGGATGGGGCAGAAACGGTCGGGCACGTTTTCTTTCGCCTCATGCCTCGCTTTTCAAAGCACTCAATATATTACACCGGCGTTAGTGGACTCCACATGTTTCAGTAAAATATTTTTTTTTTACGGTGAAATCTATTTTGAAAATAATAATATGTTGAGGGACACAGTAACGTGTGTTAATTCAATTGTCGTACTGACAGCCGGTGGCCATGTTGTTTGGTAATTGTTAAAGTGAGCTTCGTTGATTGTTACAACACAATCCACAGGTCATTTGTGAAGAGTCAACAAAAAAACTTAGCAATAGCTGTTATGTACAAACATGGCAATGAACGTAGGCCTATATTGGCCCATATCAGGCAGCTGTCAGGCGCCACCTGATAGCTGGGTGGACAGCGCTTCGGATTCGTAGTCCTGAGGTACCGGGTTCAAACCTCGGTGGAGGCGGAGACAAAAGGGCAAAAATGATTCTTTCGCCCTGATGCCCCTGTTACCTAGCAATAAATAGGTACCTGGGAGTTAGACGGCTGCTATGGGCTGCTACCTGGGGGGGGGGATAACAAAAAGGAGGTTGGTCGAGGACCGGGCCGCAGGGACGCTAAGCCCCGAAATCATCTCAAGATAACCTCAAGATATAACCTCCTATTTATAACCACTAAACCTCATTATCTGGGTCCCAGATCTAAATCCGGAGTGGTAATGTCCACGGCATCCTAGATTCCTTGCCAGGGGTGGAAGATGGTTGAAGACAACAACAGCCTCTCGGAAACACTCTTCGTGTAACCAGTCAGCTGTGTAACTGTGTAACCAGTCAGCTGTGTAACTGTGTAACCAGTCAGCTGTGTAACTGTGTAACCAGTCAGCTGTGTAACTGTGTAACCAGTCAGCTGTGTAACTGTGTAACCAGTCAGCTGTGTAACTGTGTAACCAGTCAGCTGTGTAACTGTGTAACCAGTCAGCTGTGTAACTGTGTAACCAGTCAGCTGTGTAACTGTGTAACCAGTCAGCTGTGTAACTGTGTAACCAGTCAGCTGTGTAACTGTGTAACCAGTCAGCTGTGTAACTGTGTAACCAGTCAGCTGTGTAACTGTGTAACCAGTCAGCTGTGCAACTGTGTAACCAGTCAGCTGTGCAACTGTGTAACCAGTCAGCTGTGTAACTGTGTAACCAGTCAGCTGTGCAACTGTGTAACCAGTCAGCTGTGTAACTGTGTAACCAGTCAGCTGTGTAACTGTGTAACCAGTCAGCTGTGTAACTGTGTAACCAGTCAGCTGTGTAACCAGTCAGCTGTGTAACTGTGTAACCAGTCAGCTGTGTAACCAGTCAGCTGTGTAACTGTGTAACCAGTCAGCTGTGTAACTGTGTAACCAGTCAGCTGAGCAACTGTGTAACCAGTCAGCTGTGCAACTGTGTAACCAGTCAGCTGAGCAACTGTGTAACCAGTCAGCTGAGCAACTGTGTAACCAGTCAGCTGAGCAACTGTGTAACCAGTCAGCTGAGCAATTGTGTAACCAGTCAGCTGAGCAACTGTGTAACCAGTCAGCTGTGCAACTGTGTAACCAGTCAGCTGAGCAACTGTGTAACCAGTCAGCAGTGTAACTGTGTAACCAGTCAGCTGTGTAACTGTGTAACCAGTCAGCTGAGCAACTGTGTAACCAGTCAGCTGTGTAACTGTGTAACCAGTCAGCTGTGTAACTGTGTAACCAGTCAGCTGTGTAACTGTGTAACCAGTCAACTGTGTAACTGTGTAACCAGTCAGCAGTGCAACTGTGTAACCAGTCAGCTGTGTAACTGTGTAACCAGTCAGCTGTGTAACTGTGTAACCAGTCAGCTGTGTAACTGTGTA